GTGGCATTGACAGATTTGTGCCACATAGACAAACCACAATTGGGCCAGTTAAGGTATTGAAAGATTTGTGCCACATAAACCAAACCACAATTGGGCCAGTTGTGGCATTGACAGATTGGTGCCACATAAAACAAAACACAACTAGGCCACTTGGGCCACGTAAACCAAACCACACCCGGGCCACTTGTGGCATTGACAAATTTGGGCCACATAAACCATGTCACAAATGTAACTCCAAAAAATAATAAAAGAAAAAGATGTTGATAAAGAGTATGGCCCAAGAAACCCACATAGTAGACAGTTGTGGGCCAGGTCAGGTATTAAGCTGGCACGGCTGGCATGCAAGTGGTTTGTCAAATGGATGTGGGCCAGATCTGGCAATGATGGCGCTGTTTTTAAAATGGCATTTCACAACTCGTCTTGATGTGATTTGGTTTATAGAAAACCACATATGGGTCACCAAAGGGCTGTCATTCTTTGAGGTATCTGGACCGATTTTTTAGTGCCTTATGTGAGCCAGAACTGCCAAGACAAATTCAGATTAATTTATTTTACTATGTGGGAATGAATGCTTTCTAAATTTGTTGTTTTTTTCTTTATCCGTTAGGGATTGTATGTTCTAAATATGACATAAAATATATTTTTGAAAATGTAGTTTGTATTTGTATAAGAATTAAAACTTTTTTTATATTGACAGAAAGTGGCCCTTGGCTTGGACCAAGTTTTGAATTTTGATACCACTAATGGAGGCAGTAGGAGGACTAAACATAAATTTGGATCAGTGCTGCAATATGAAATGAAATATTTGCCTTTGCGATTTAAAAATAAAATTCTTTCTCATCTCTGCGCATTCAGCCAGAGGACTAATCAACAGTCTCACCTCGTCTAAGCCCCACATGTCCGGACCTCATGGTGATGAGTTTTCTCTGAGTCAGAGGTGATTTATTTTCATCAAAGCTTATTAGAACTCATCTAACTGCACACGAGAGGACACCAGCGAATCTCCGAGGATCAGTTTACGCAGCACACCCAGGCACACGTCACTTTTATATTCCAACAATCTCCCTCTTCTATTTAAAATCAGATAAATATTCTCCTGAGAAAGCGTGACAAACCTGAAGCTGCAGAGAGGTTTTATGACCCTGACATGTGCAGCTGGGGGGTCTGCCTGGTTTGGGGTTACAGTTTGGACTTGTTGCGTGAGGGGGTTTAAAGCCTTCTGTCTTGTTGCCGGGTGTGTCTGAGGACCCGCCCACAGGACAAGATCTGGGAGCTGTCAGTTAGGACGGGGCATGTCGGCTGAGGTCAACAGCTGAAAGAGGTGATGATTTGGACGGCATTGAATAATTAACATAACCGACTATTAATTTTCATAACCCCTGAGGGGAACAAGTGCCTGTGTGGAGAAAATGTCAAATATTGGTTTGATCTTCTGCTCTTGTAACCACAAATCTAAGTTGTACAAAATAAAACAGCCTTTGACTTGACTGAATGCAAGAAAATTTGATTTATTTCCAATTAGTGTAACACTGAACTTTCTAATCGTGGGTATTTTTGGTGAAATACTTCAGCTGTCCGACCTCAACATGTTAATTATTCACAATAAGGAATACTTAACCTTTTTGTGCTTTTAATTTGAAAAATCCAAATTTGTTGACAACAAATTTTCATCAGTTCATATTTTCTTTTGTATAAAGTACCTCAAAGTGATACTAGAGTTAAAGGGTACATATGCAAAATTTACTTTTTTAGCCTTTAAATACATTTTGTTGTGTACTTGGAGTCTCTAGGAGGCAGAAAATTTGAAATTAGTCTCTCCTGGTGCTGCATGGACATCTTTACATATTGTTTGGGTCATATTTTTCTGTATGTTCAGTTTTCTCTATTTTCTATGACTTTTCTAACCTATTATGTTACAAGTCTGGAAGCAGGAGGGGGCGGAGTTTAAAGAGACTGCCTAAAAATGCTTCCAAGATGTTCTGAGACACGCCCCAGAAAAGGGGTGGGGCTTGGTGAGCTGCATTAAGGAGGAATTCAGACCAAACCATTGCAGTTCCACTCTATTTTGATCCCAACTGAAGGATTTAAAAACAAATGTTTACTGTAAAGTATCTGACATAAAATGTACTTACGTATTAAAAGTAGAAGTATTAGTTAGAAGTTCCAAAATGACATTTGTTGGGAGATGATTTCCTGAATACATTTTTCTAAATATAATATTATATCATAATGCAAATGTTGAAATGAAGCAGTAAAGACTAGGAACAGATAATTTCGTGAAAATGTAAAAAAAAAATATATTACTGAAGTACAGATAACCTTAAGGAAAGTAGCAAAGTGTTTGTACTACACCTCTGTTTTTTATGCTGATTCACATCTCACTTGTTTTTCTGTTAGCAGCAGTTAAAAGTTGTCAACTCAAAGTTAATATTTACCTGATAACTGATAACTGGCAGCTGACAACAAACCTCTAATGTTTTAACAAAATAAAACGCTCTGACTCAGAAAAACTCAATCAGAGATTCTGAATAAATTTATAAACATTTTTGCGATGAAGTGCTGAAAATTTAATGTGGCGAGAAGATGATGAAAGAATACAGAATAAAATTGCGTGTTGGGCGTTAAGTTAATACATGTGAAATCTGTGTTGAGGTCACTGCTCCGAACCTCTGTCAGGGCAGCGATGACAGCTGAAAATAAACTGAACCCCGTTTTGGTTCGATACCTCCTTCCAGACACACACACACGACACACACCAGCACACACCCTGGGAGCTCGGCCAGCCAGCTGTCGTGCTGTGTTCGGGTGTTAAGCCCCCTGGTCCAGGAGAGGGGATGAAGGGGATATATTGGTAATTTGCAGCAATCCCCCAACAGAGAGTGATCCTTCATTGAAATACATTCATCATTGCCTTTTGATAAACTGTTGACTCAATAGTCTGTAAAGTCAATAGCTGTTCATTATCGAAGACTTCAAGCTCATATTCTGGCCCTGGATCCAGGACACAGATCCAGTTTTAGAATCTCAAAATGCTTTGTTGGGTTTCCAGTGTTTCCACAGTCGCAAGCTTTGGGTGCACGAGGCACTAAATTAAGAACATCATCACTGATTAGCATTCCAGTTATCAGGAACCAGGCTTATCACTTTTTTGTATTATTGTAAATAATGTCAGTTGTATGGTACGACGGAGTATTTAGAGCCACACAACATTTTTAAATTAATATTATGACAATAAAGTATTACGAGATTAAAGTCATAATATTAAGAAGCCAAAGTCATAGTTTTACGAAAATAAAGTTGTAATATTACGAGAAAAGTCATAATATTATGAAAAAAGTCATAATCTTACATGATGTGTCCATTTTCTGTTCCTCATTTCCTCCTTATTCTATCGTAATATTCTGACTTTATTCTTGTAATTAAAAAAAATTAAACAAATCTCGTTATGTGGCCCTAATACTCTGTTGTAGTATGGTGGCCAACAAACAAAGGATTTAGTTTACCTAAAATACAGAAAACTAAATTATTATGCTCTGAATAGCATGATTTATTTCTAGTCACATGAAACAAATTCCAGTTCTGTGGTGAGAACAGGCGGTGGAAGACAATTTGGAGAGGTGGATTTTTGAGCTCGAAAGAAGAAAAATACACTCACCAGCCACTTTATTAGGTACACCTGTCCAACTGCTCGTTAACACTTAATTTCTAATCAGCCAATCACATGGCGGCAACTCAGTGCATTTAGGCATGTAGACATGGTCAAGACAATCTCCTGCAGTTCAAACCGAACATCAGTATGGGGGAGAAAGGTGATTTGAGTGCCTTTGAACATGGCATGGTTGTTGGTGCCAGAAGGGCTGGTCTGAGTATTTCAGAAACTGCTGATCTACTGGGATTTTCACGCACAACCATCTCTAGGGTTTACAGAGAATGGTCCGAAAAAGAAAAAACATCCAGTGAGCGGCAGTCCTGTGGACGGAAATGCCTTGTTGATGCCAGAGGTCAGAGAAGAATGGGCAGACTGGTTCGAGCTGATAGAAAGACAACAGTGACTCAAATAACCACCCGTTACAACCAAGGTAGGCAGAAGAGCATCTCTGAACGCACAGTACGTCGAACTTTGAGGCAGATGGGCTTCAGCAGCAGAAGACCACACCGGGTGCCACTCCTTTCAGCTAAGAACAGGAAACTGAGGCTACAGTTTGCACAAGCTCATCGAAATTGGACAAGAGAAGATTGGAAAAACGTTGCCTGGTCTGATGAGTCTCAATTTCTGCTGCGACATTCGGATGGTAGGGTCAGAATTTGGCGTCAACAACATGAAAGCATGGATCCATCCTGCCTTGTATCAACGGTTCAGGCTGGTGGTGGTGGTGTCATGGTGTGGGGAATCTTTTCTTGGCACTCTTTGGGCCCCTTGGTACCAATTGAGCATCGTTGCAACGCCACAGCCTACCTGAGTATTGTTGCTGACCATGTCCATATATGACCACAAAACCGTTACTTGCGTGGTGTACCTAATAAAGTGGCCGGTGAGTGTAAGTCAGCTGTGTAAATGAGAGGGAGGCAGGTGGAACTGTGAGGCTACAAGGAGCAGAGCCAACCAATACTGGTAAAGAGGTGAAGGAGAGACATGAGTTTGTACCTGCTTATCTCTGCCTCATACTGGCCAAAAAGACTTAAATTTAAAGTTGAGTTATTAAAACATCCGCTCCTTTTTGTCACCACTAAAAGTGGCTACGAGTGATAGGAGTTTAATCTTTCCTTATAAGAAGAAAATAATAATTTATAGCGGTGGATTTGTCATCCTACACACAACCAACCCTGTAATTTGAGTTTTATTTGGATATTTATCCAAAATTAACTATAAGCCGTGTTAGTAGTGTGAAAACCCCACCCAACTTCTGCGCCACAAAATTGTGCCGTCATATAAATGGTGCAAACCCGCTGCGTAATCGTCAGTGCTTTTACTCTGAAAGCTGTGGGCACACTCATACCGGAAGTTTCGGCCTTCACCACGTTACTTCCGTTTCACCGATGACCTGTCACCTGAAAGCAAACTAGCCGAAGTATGGAGCTAAAATAACACTTCCATCGACCCCGGGAGGCGTTTAGGCTGATCGAAAGTGGGCGAAGAACGAGTGGTATGTAACAAAAAGTTGATGTAAAGATTAAGCGCGAGGGAAAATCGCCACTTCCTGTTTAGTTTTGTGACGCCCTTCTTAAACCAGGCCTGGCGGATGCTAACGTTAGCATGATGACATTTATGTGTTTTTTGGTGTTTTGACGTTTTTCCTATTGACATAACGCCTAAATAAATGCATTGATGTTAAATCTGTCACATAGTAATATAATCCTATGGATTTTTTAAGGATTAATTTGTTATCTGTGCCTGAAAAGGTAAAGATGTACGAGGTTTGCGTCATGTGCATGTAGATCATGATGTTGCAGAGATATTCTTTGGAAAAAGATGGTTCACGTAGCCTCCCAAAACACGGAAGAGCCTCGAGCCCAGAGCTTGTTTCCTCACTTCCAGTCTCTGTGACTGTTTCCTCCTGTTATGAGAACAAATGACTGGAAAAGAAAAATCTGATTTTATTTTTTTATTCCTTCACTTCCACCTGAATGTCCATCTTCCTGCTGACTGGGTATCCTCACCATCTCTACCATCCCATCTCATAAAAACTTTAAATCAGGCAGAAACCTGGGAATGGATTCAATAATTTTAACACAAAAATGCATGTATTTAATTTCTTTAAATACTTGCAATAAAATGTTAGATTAACGTGACTGTTAAAGTTATTTGTTCCAAAAGTACAGAGGTTGTATTGATTGTAACAAGTATTGTAAGCCCATTTTATTCTTTAAAATAGGACTTTTTTTCTACACTACTATTATTAAGTCATGCATTTGTTGAACTTCAGCAGAAATATGTTGTGCTAGTAGTTTTCTTTAAGCAGTTGAAAAACAAAATGTTGAAACCACGAAGCGTCCTGGAGCTTCAGACTTTCCAGAGACCCTGACGAGCGGCCTCGACTCACCGGCGAACTGTGCAGAATCCATGGATGCATCGTCTGAAGACAGAGGGACCACCAGACGTGAAGCTCGTTGCCACCTGGAAGAAAAATGATCATTTTATTTTTCCTCACTGCAGGTTCACCTGCAAAATTTTTATTATTACTTTTTAATTTTCAAGATTTATTTTGGTGACCAAACAGAATGGAGTGGAGTTAAGATAGTGGTGTTTTATAAAGTAACATCATCCTCATTTTGTAGCTGTTTTATTTTTACTTAATCATGAAATTTAGTTGTTAAAGCTGTATTACCTGTCTTCTTTTTGTTTTAGTTAGCTCTGTGTTCACCTTTTTATGTTAGATGAGTTTTATAGTTTAGGCAAAACTTTATTTTAATTTTTCCTCAATGAGATATACTTTTTGCAAATGTCAGTTGTGTGTTTTTTTTTTTTTGTCTTTTATTATAGATGGAGTATTACACACCGTTCAGCGCATTGAAGTCTGTAACCTGTGACCATTCAGTCTCTCTAAAGTGGCTCTTTATATTACTTTAATGGTTTTTTTCTTTTTATAAAAAATTGACAAGAAAAACTACTTTTAGCTGTTTTTCTGTTTTTTTATTTTTTATTTTTTTATTATTATTTTTTTACAATATGTGGCTGAATGACGCTGAAACATTTTGGGCTGCATTTATGAACTAAATATTTAACATTAATTTCCACAGAGCTATTGTTGGTCAGAACAGCTGTATTTTCTCTTTTCTGTGTTCAGACAACAAATTTCATCCGACGAATCATTTATCATGACTATTTTTTCTTTTTATGATTATTTTTATATATACTCAGTTTTTGTAGTGAAGACATACAGTACAAATTACACTGACTAGAGACTAGACAAATGGGGAGGGTTCTTCCAAATGTTGGATAACTCATCCGCATTGCTGAAAAGTTTTGTCTCACTCAGTAACCCCCTTCTCTTGCTTTGTTTTTCTTTAAACTTTTCAGCTTTTCTTTGCTATTGGAGCATTCTCCCCATTGTCCTGCTCCAGGGCCTCTAGCAAGCCCCCCTTTTGGAGGGCTTTCTGCAAACCCGCCACTGACCGGAGGGCAGGCTGCATCCTTGCGGTTGGCTCAACTAAAGGCTTGGCTTGCACTGACGCAGATGAACAATGTTTTCACCGTTGGTGGCCGAGTTACGACTTTGAACTCCAACGCATCATCTTCACGCCTTTCCACAACACCGCCTTCACCGACTGCTGTGGCCATCAATCTTCTGAACGTTCTGAAGATCGCCAACACCATGTCCCATCCTCTCTTCAACCCTTTTGTTCCTGGGACGCAAACTTCCTCCCAGGGGCAATATGGACTCTCCAGTGGACAGACAGAAAGGGATCCTCGGACAGGGTTGCCTCGCCTTGAGCCTGGGTCCAGCTACCCTTCTGGACCACCTCCTTTGATTCTTGGGACATCCGGAGGGTTTCTACCACCCCCTCTAGCACCTCCAGGAAACTACATACCTGAGAGAAGTAGGATAACTGTGGACGACGACATCGAGAGGTGCTTAGACTTGAATATTGGCAGACCCAAGGAGGAGGTGAGGCATCAGCCTTTGAACCAGAGCATTCCCTTCATCAGCACTCAAAGACAAGGGTTTCCTCCTTCAAACACCGAGGTGCCATCTTATATGGCACCCTCAGCTTTGCAAGGACACAGACCCTCCACTGTTGACAGTACTAGTAGGTCCTTGGACTGGTTGCCTATGTTCAAAAGGACCCAAGAGGATGATCCCTCAAAAATGTATTCATCTGCTTCTTCCAACTTTGTAAACAGTGGTGACGGTAGGTTTAACATCTCCAACGAAGGGATGTGTGACACGCCGTCCATTCCGGGTTTTGGTAACTACGAGAGGAAGGTGCCAGAGAGATCTGCACTGCCTGCCGAGCCCAGTCGGCCCAAGTACACTTCAGAATCAGCTTCTAACATCCTCCTGCAATTTGGACTTGAAAAAGAGGACTTGGAACAGCTCATCACATATCCAGAAGACCAGATCACGCCTCAAAACCTGCCTTTCATCTTGAGGGAGATCCAACTGAAAAAGGCACAGCGAACTGCAGCTCCATCGAAACCTTACAGCGAACCTCCACCCATTGAAAGTGTGAGTGGCTCTAGGGCTGCAGCGCCGTTCCAGGATGAAATCCAATCCATTGTTCTTAAACCAAGCAAAGTGATTGACTATGGACACACTAGCAAATATACTGCTGGCATTGAGAAAGACGTTGGAAATGCTCCACCTAAGGCGGGTGGGAGCAAAAGTAATTTGGACAGTGTAAAAAGTGGCAGCCACATCCAGAAGCCTGTGTCAAAATCAGCCCACCTGACGGCTTCGACATCCCAGCCGTCCAGCTCCACGTTCTGCAGCATTCACCCGAATCGTCCTGGCCTGGTGCTTATTGACTTAAACAACGACAACAACGACAGTAGTCAAAGCAGAGCTCAAGGTGAAGCATCTAAAGTTAAAGAACCGGTGAAAAAGCAACAAGGACAACAACCGAACCAACAGGTGCCACAGCAGCCGAAGAAGTTGAACCAGGCGCAGCAGCCGAAGAAGTTGAACCAGGCGCAGCAGCAGCAGAAGTTGAACCAGGCGCAGCAGCAGCAGAAGTTGAACCAGGCGCAGCAGCAGCAGAAGTTGAACCAGGCGCAGCAGCAGCAAAA